GTGTAAGCATCTTCTTCTCACTAATTTTGTCATATTTTTGTTTCTTAGTGCCAGCTTTCAGACCCTGCCAAGGGAGGCTAAGATGGAAAAACCAAATGTGATTAGTCAGTTATGCGTGAGAGACGAGAAAGAACAGTGGAAAAATCTGAAGTGAAGTTCTTATGACTAACCTTCCTCTGAGGAAGTACATAAGGACATAACCAAGAGATTCCAGATCATCCCTTCTGCTTTGTTCTGAAATAGATAATCAGAGGAATAGGAAAAATAAAAAAAACTGCTAGTATGTCACTGTAATAGTTTTTGCTCTTTGTATATAGTTTGATTATTGATATGAGCTATCATGAAGCAATATAAGTATCTTCAGTCATTAGTTTCAGCCACAAGGTTCACTCACCAACTCCAAGATGGGTGTTTACGCTCGCCTAACGCGTGCCAGTGAGATTTTTATTTTCCCTACAAACAAGGAAAGGGCAGTGAAGTAATAAAGATAAATATTGATAGCTGAAAATTAATGCCGATGTCATTCAGATATTTAAATGTGTATGAAGAAAAAAGAGCAATTATATTTGACACCCAAAATGCTTAATTGACAACGTTGTTTTTAGTTGACAGTGAAATGCAAATTTATAATTTCTCACTTTATATGGCAAGAAAGTATCATCACTTGGGTAACAGCAGGGCAGATCCAGCAACTGGCGAGTCGGAGCAGCAGCCCGTGCTGGCTCCATCAGAAAAGAAAGGATTATAAAGCTCTAACGACTGATGTCAAATATTTATAAATGCACCAACTTTCATCATGTTGCTGTGTAGCTCATATGGTAGAGCACTAGCTTTGCATGTAGAAGGCACAGGGTTCGATTTCGAGAACCTCCAATCTTTGTTTTAAATTTTTAGCTACCAAATTGGCTGAAAGCAAAATTTTGTATCACGTTTGCAATAAATAAGATTTGAACCTCTGTGATAATGGAAAACTTGACCACCAAGGCAATTGAAGATTGTTAACAATAAATTTGACAAAAAAATATATATTCGATTTTATCAAAGTAATAGACTTTGCTGTAAAAATTGTTATTTTTAACAAAATTTCAACCTTGCTATGACCCAGTGATTGAACCACTGACCCGATAATTTGTCCAATTAAGAATAGGGTATAGTATGATAACCATGCATAATATATACTTTTGTTGATAGGTTTTATCAATTTATTTTGTAAAATTTAAATTTGGACAATCTAAGTACCGCTCTTTATTCTTTTAAGAGTTCGGAAAACATTTTTTTTTGGGTCAAAAATAGGTCTAAAAATCATTGTTTTAATAACTTTGCATAAGCTTGCCTAAGTTCAAAACTTGTATTTACCGTTTAATCATGATTTATGTATAAGCTTTATCTTGTCTCGCTTAAATTTGTAAAAACTTGAAACTTGATCATACGTATATGATTCAAATTTTTTCTTGTTATTTTGGATTGTATTGGATTATATTTTTATATGTATATGACTTTTACGTTTATATTGATTGATTTTTTTAAAATATTATTTAATTAAATATTAATAAATAATCTTGTTATAGAGACCGTCAACGGTCAACGGACTGTCCTAACTCACTCAACTTCTTAGATCCGCCTCTGGGTAAGAGTAGCATATTGAAGAAAGAGAATAGTTAAAAAAATAATATTCCCATCACCATTTGGTTGAAAATATTATGTAGCACTAGACTCGTGCTCGCCTGCTCCTAGAAACTACTATTACTGACTCTGCTCTAAAGTCAAGTAAACAAAATGAGAAGAGTGTGACAATGTTCAGCAACACGAAGATGAGTTGGACGGATGTCCAGTTGGCAGGGAGCCAAAGTGAAATCACGTATGAGGAGGCCTTAAGCAATCAGCATCCTTTCCGTGAAAGAATACTTCAGCCTTGTGTATAAATAGTTTAAAAATGCTTAATCAAGTATTAAGGCGATTTATCTATGCGAGGTGAGATGTACGGATGGAAATCAAGATAGAGATTAATAAAGATAGAGATAAAGTATAATGAGGATTTTAAAATAGTTTTATTTAAAGTATGTTTATTTTATTTAGATTTGATTAAATTAGGTTTGATATTTTAATAAAGTTTTAGATTAGTAGAAGCTCGTTTAGCCCCTGTTTGGCACCCATTCTCTTTGTCATTCTTATTCTCTTTTTTCATTTCAACCACACAATCTCCAAATAAAATAATATTACACACAAATCTAAAACTTTTCATCACTTTTCCACCACACATTCACTATTCCAAAATTTTTTAACCCATTAAAATGGGTGTCAAACACTCCCTTAATTTGATATTCTTAGTTTATTGGCTCTATAAATAGACTTATTTATTGTAATTCACAACCTAATTATGCGCCTGTCTGGAGGAGATTTTCAAAATCAATTTTTTTGACTGTTTTTGGTCAATTGGGGCCCACATATGAGAGATTTGGTCAAGAAAAGTGGCTGGACATTTTTGGAAATGGTGGCCAACGGTAGGAAAATGGCTGCCCAACGGTAGGAATTTTACTATTAAGCATTTCCAGACAGGTACTATATGAATAAAGAATGATTCTCTTTGCCCTCAATTCTTATCTTCTAAGCACCCCTTTCTTTCTATAATTCTATTCCTTGTTTTGTCTGTTAACAAACTATACACTCCTACGTTAATTTGGTATTAGAGCAATTCGTTTTCTTTGACCTATACCTCAAATCTGCTAACCGTTTTCATCCAATCCATATACACACCGCCGTCGTCCACCACCCATCCAAGCTCTACAACCACCTTTATACTGCCAAACCATAAACATCACAAAACATAAGAAAGTTCATCTCCACAGCAGTAGCAGTTTTTTTTTTCCTTCCAATTTCTTAGCATTTGTTCTCAGTAGTTTTTTTCAAAAAAAAATCTAGAAAAAAAAGAGAGAAATACAGCAGTTTGTTCATCTTTACTCTTTAGTAAATTATCTGTTTTTTAGTTATATATATATCCCTACTAATATAAAAGAGCCAATCCGCCATTCACT